AGTAAGGTAGACAAGGAAGAAATTAACTAGGGTTTCATTAGAGCAGACATAAGGCACAGGAAAATTGTGAGAGGAGGACCAAGGGGACCAGGAAAGTACACTTCTCCACAAACCAAGGAAGCAAGGAGGAATAAGGAAAAGGACCATCTGTTTTGCTCTAGTGTTTAAAGGATGCTGTGTTAAGGATGGGTTGCCATTTCGGTATTCTTTATTTACTATTTTGTTCTGGATTTTGAATCAAGTCAGGACTGCACAATGAGCCAGAAACAAGAAAAGTTCTGTGCAGTTATTTATCCCTTAAATGCCAGGATGCAGCAATTTGCTTGGTCCCCCCCCCCTTTTCCTGTTGACTGCAGCTTCATCCTTGCCTACACTCATCCAGAGAGCTGTTTCCAAATGTGTATTTGCAGTTTTAAAAATCATTTATAATTTATAAACAACTTAAAAATGTAGACATGGATGAAGGCAAGGTGAGAGGGAAAATAAGAGGAGATGTGGTGATTGACCAAGAGAAAATGGGAAAGGGGTGGATTGCAAGAAATTATGCTACCTAATCTCCTATCTTCAGCCTCTCCCAGATAGAGGGAAAAAATGCAGAACCTTAAAGAAGGGGGGGAGGGAGAGAAAAAAATATAGAGTTCCTGGGAGATGCAGATGCAGATATATAGGAATTGTCTGTTACAGGAAAATGAAAGAGAAACATAGCTTTTGGTAGGATAAATAACAATGCTAATTTTCAAAGTAAATACATTATTATTTTTCCCAATAATTAATCATAGAATCATAATCAATGTATTGGTCTGAAGATCTTTATTTTATCAGTGTGCATTTCTAATATTGAGCTTTGCTGACCTACATTTTGCATCCAGAGAGGCAAATCATTCAGTCCTCATTTAAATATTACTCTCATTAACTTCAGGAATTGGCCTAAATATCTAATGATAAAGGGAATAGTACCTGTTTTGTTTTAGCTTGAAAGCCGAATTTATTTCATAAATCATTCAAGGCTCATTTTAGTAATACATAGTTTGTGCTATTTTCACTGAGGTTTGTGTTGCCCTAGTCAATTTGTAAAACATGTGCAGTAATACTGTTTGGATTTTTCCTTTACACTGTGAAGCATGAAAGTAAACCATTGATTTAATGTAAAACTGTTAGGGAAATCGAAGCCACATTACTACACAGTTTTTACCATATGACTTTCCAATATACATTTGGAACTGCTCATTATTTTATTTACATTGAGACCTCTGTATTAAATGCAACTAATTAATCTCTCTCTTTATCCACAGAAAAATGAGTGGTGGGTTAGCACCAAGTAAAAGCACAGTGTATGTGTCAAACTTGCCTTTCTCACTGACCAACAATGACTTATACAGGGTAAGCACATCTACTTTAAAAGAAGTTGCATTATTTAAATTAATATGCAATGGTTATGTAAAATGCATAATCTGTGTGGTGTAACCTTTAAACATTTGCAAATTGTCATTTTGTATTTTGTTAATGTTTGATTTAACAATAGATTTCTAAATTTGTCTATTATGCTCCTTGTTCTAGATTTTTTCCAAGTACGGAAAAGTTGTAAAGTAAGTATAAACATGGCTTGACATGTTGTATTCTTCATGTTGGTCTCCAATATGTAGTGCTTTTCCTCCTTTATATAATTTGTGCATTTAAAATATATTTTAAGCCTGAATTAGGGATCCATATTTAAATTTTATCCATAATACAGTATAAGTTTAATCTTGTAATAATTGAGAATTTCTTGTAGTAACACATGATACAAACATCAACACATGAGAGACTAATAGTGCTCTGAAAGTCGATTCTTGGAAGCTAGCAGGCAGTTGTTATATGCTAGAATCCTCACTTTGAATTGCTTTAAATAAGACTCTTAGGCTGTGTCTACACTGCACCCCTTTTCCGGAAAAGGGATGCAGATGAGACAAGTCGGAATTGCAAATGAAGCGGGGGATTTAAATATTCCCCGCTTCATTTGTATAAACATGGCTGCTCCTTTTTTCCGGCTCGGGGCTTTGCCGGAAAAAAGCGCCAGTCTAGACGGGGATCTTTTGGAAAATAAAGTCTTTTCCGAATGGCCCCTTATTCCTCTTAAAATCAGGACTTGTCTCATCTGCATCCCTTTTCCGGAAAAGGGGTGCAGTGTAGACACAGCCTCAGTAACCTTCCTTCTCACAAGTGTGGACAGAAGACAATGAATTCAACATGCATCCATGAACTATAATTGGCAGAAACAAATGTTGTAGTAAGTTGTGAGATACTGGGTCTTGAAATTTCATGATTTTTTGCAACAATTGTAATATCTCAACAATTCTTAGAACCAGTATTAGTAAACGCTTGGAATTGTGCTGTCAAATAATAGAATAACTGCTTATGAGAAAATAGCAGCTCAAAGTATTTTAATGGTGAAGTGTGTGTATGCATGTCGTTAGTGGGGGAAGGGAAATTAGGATAAAATAGCATGATTTCAGGATTCAATATTTTATCACTTGTCATGGCCGTTTGAGTTTAGACATTTTTAAAATGAGTAAACACTTCTAAATACTAGCCTTGCACCAGTGATCAGAAACTTAAATTGTTGCTTTCACTAGGATTCTGGCAAAATGCAACCAGCTGATATTAGCTCTGAGTCTCTAGACAGACTCTGAGGCCTGGTTTACACCAGGGTTACGTCTACATTGGCAAGATTTTGCGCAAATACTTTTAATGCAAGAGTTTTTGCGTTAAAAGTATTTGCGCAAGAGAGTGTCTACACTGGCATGTGCTTTTGCACAAGAGATGTGCTTTTGCGCAAAAGCATTCGTGCCAGTGTAGACGCTCTCTTGCGCAATAAAGTTCTGATGGCCATTTTAGCCATCGGGCTTTCTTGTGCAAGAAATTCATGTTGCCTGCCTACACTGGCCTCTTGTGCAAGAAGGCTTATTCCTGAGCGGGAGCATCATAGTTCTTGCACAAGAAGCACTGATTTCTTACATTAGAACATCAGTGTTCTTGCGCAAGAACTCGCGGCCAGTGTAGACAGGTGGCAAGTTTTTGCGCAAAGGTGGCAAGTGTTTGCGCAAAATCTTGCCAATGTAGACACAGCCTTGGAGATTAGGTGGAGCTTAGCCACATTAGGTTGATGTTCTAAACAATGAGTCCACACTACTAAACCCATTCTGGCAATTTTAAAGGCGATTTCTGTACTCCTGCTTTCATGAGAAGTAACAGCTAAATTCAATCTTCTTGCATGATCAACTTTCCAGTAGTGCAGATGCAACACTGTAAAAATCGATATTCTTGGCCTCTGGGAGGCATCCCACCGTGTCCTGCAGTGACCACTCTGAACATGGCTTTGAACTCTTCCTGTTCACCTAGAGCTTTTTCGAAAGATACTTTAGAAAAAGCCTCTTTTGAAAAAGAACGTCTAGACGCCAGTACTTTCGAAAAAGCAAGCAGCTTTTTTGAAAGAGAGCACCCAAGCAGTCTGCATGCTCTCTTTCGAAAAAGCACAGTGTGTATTACATAGCGCCATTTTTAAAAGAACGCTTTCGAAAAAAAGGCATTCTTCCTTGTAAAATGAGGTTTTCCGCGGTCGAAAAAACTGCTGCATTCTTTTGATTTACATTTGAAAGAATGCGGCAGCAGTCTAGATGCAGGGGAAGTTTTTTGGGAAAAAGGACACTCTTTTCGAAAAAACCCTGTAGTCTAGATATACCCTTAGAGAACAGTAAAGCCCCAGGAAAATTTGAATTTCATTTCCTGTGTGGCCAGCGTAGTGAGCAGGCAGCACACCTCAACAACACACCTGACCATGAGTTCCAAGGGTCCCAGACAAGCAGCAGAATGGAGAGTCCAAGAGTTCTTGTACCTCATTGCTGTGTGAGAAGAGGAATCAGAACTACTAGCCAGTAAAAGAAATGCAGATATCTATGCTAAGGTAGCATAGAGCATGGAGGAGAAAGGATATGCCAGGAACACCCACTAGTAGTGAGTGAAAATAAAGAAGCTGAGGCAGTCGTACCAAAAGACAAACATGGCAAATGGAAGGTATGGAACATTGCTGCAAACATGCTGCTTCTATGAGCAGCTGCATGCAGACCTGGGAAAGACCTGACCAGTTTCCCTGAGGATTCCTCCCAAGACACTCAGGCAGCATGGAGGACCACGTGGTGGAGGAAGTGGAGAAGAATGGTCAGCAGGTGAGCAGGTCAGACAAGGTCACCGAGAGCCAAGAACTTTTTATAACTTTGAAGACCATCCTCTCCTCCCTGGACATCTCACAGTTGGCACTGATCCTAGGGAGGGCACTTCTGGTGAGCTCATGTTTTTTATCATGCTTTATGTGGATTAGGGCAGTCGGGTGTGATCTGTGGTAGCCATGGTGCCTACAATGCATGTGGGGGAGGGGGGAGGGAAGGTATCCTTGGAACAGCTTGTTAATGTGTCTGGAGGCAGACTGGGAATTAGGGATGTAAAATCCCATTTAATCAGTTAACGCTTAACTGGTTATGTATAACCAGTTAGCTGCTTAAACAGGAGTGGGCAGGTGCTGCTCTGGCCAGGCCTGCCACAACTGGGGGCTGCTCCAGCCAGGCTTGAGCGCCCCATACCTCTGTCAGACTGCTGCAGCCTGGCCAGGCCATTGGTTAACCATAACAGGTAAGAATCACCCACTAAAGGTGATGCTTACTGGTTAACTATTCACATCCCTAGCGGGAATCCTCCCTGAACATTTCCAAAAAGCTCTCCTAGAGGAACTAGAATCCTTCTCACAAGGTTTCCATCCTCCCCAGTAGGACACCTTTCCATGCCAAGCCAGCAGTAAGGGGTCTGACATCTTGCAGCATAAGGTTCAAGTTTCTGACCACATTCAGTCAGCATCTGCTCCCTGTTACTCTGTGTGATTTGGAGAAGACTGATAACTCGCATGGAAACCTGGATTAAGCAGGGGAAGCTATTAGCTGATGCCCCTGCAGTAAACCTTTGTTTGCTCATCCCTAATGAAGCATGGCTTGTGCCTCTGCACTGCTCTGCTGCCACTATCGGACTTCCTGCCCTCTCTCTCATCTGCCCCCTCCTGCATGAAAGAAAAGTTGCACTCTCCCAGCAAACAGGGCAAGGCGTGTGACTCGAACACACAAACCCTGTATGAGTCCCAACCCTTCTCTGCTGCCATGCCCGGGCCCTCTGCCCCCTCCCATCCACAGACTCGTGCCCAGCCTGTCCCTTACTATGCTTGCCACGGAACCAAGTCCAGCTGCTCCCCTAAGAACTTTGAGGTTACTTGTTGCAAAGTAGACTCTTAAAAGCCTAACTGTGGCCTTGTACATAACACTTCCCTACAGTCTTTAGACAAACCTTCATTTTATTCTGACAGATTAGGGTTTACACTCTACAATGTATCTCCTGTAAAGTCTGCCCTTCACTTTTCATTACAGCGGGAACAGCAGTCAGCCTGCACTCCCTTGGCCCTGCCAGCTGTCCGCCTGGCACAAATTGGCAGGAAAAAATGGACTAGGGAAGAGGTATTCAAGGAGCAAATGCAATCTGCCAACTTGGATGGGGAACACTTAAGTGAGTGGGGGGAATACGCTGCTGGAGGAAATGCAAGTAAAGCATGAGGAAAGGAGAGCATGCAGGAAATGGGAATTGAGGCATCAGGAGAGAGTGTTGTCATACAGGGTGGACATGATGAACCACGTGGTGGATTTCCAGGACACCTACTTGAACAGGCAACCCCTCCAGTCCTCGCATGTCAATGTTCTCTCCTCACTGAGTTCCATATCTTGCTCTCCAAAGGACCCTACCACACAGAGGGGGAGGGAATCAAGGGTAGCCTCACTCTCAACCCCTAGCCTCCCTTCTCCTCCCCCAATCAAGCTCCTGCCCTGGACTCCTTTTCTGTCTTTGCAGTGTTCTCTAAATAAAAATGCATGATTTCTGAATAAGTCTTTTTATTGCTTGTATTGAAGGGGTTGGGAGGCCACAGGGAAGAACACAATGGAGGGAGACCTCATTGAGAGCTACATGCATGACTCTCAAAACTGTCCATTCATCAGACTCTTTCAAATCCTCTCTGATATGCAGTGCCCTTTGATGTGCTCTCCTTATTGCCCTGGTGTCGCTGCTCTAAATCCTTTGCTAGGCACTGTGCCTCAGCATTCCACCCTGATAAATACATTTCCCCCTTGCTCTCACAAATATTATGGCGCACACAGCAGGCTGTCTCTACAATGGGAATGTTGCATTTACTGGGGTCTAACCTAGTTGTTAGGCTATGGAATCTTCCCTTTAAACTCCCAAAAGCACATTCTACCACCATTTTGCACTTGCTCAGCCTGTCTCATTCTGGTATTCTTGTGCTTTAGGGCAGGATAAAGCAATTTGCAACCTTCCATGAAGGTGGTCTTATGCATGTGAAGGTTCTGCAGCCACTGCTGATCATCCCATGCCTTCATAACAGTGTACCAGTCTGTGATTATCTGATGGCACCCAGAACTGGTATTCCACTATGTCCAGAGGAGTGAAAGCTATTGACATTTGCATTTCACTCAGCTGAAGTGTTTTACAGAAGAGTACGTTCATGGCCTCCTGAAACTTTTCCTTGTTCTGGCAGATCTTGAATAAGTTCTGGATGTACTCGAGCATTAGGCACATCAAAGTTGTTAACATCATCATCATGCTTTGCTGGACAACGGGATCCATGATGGTTTCCATGGTCATGCTGCTATGCTGTCTGCACAGATAACCAACGAGAAAAAAGGGTGCCAAAAGACTGTTTGCCGTTGGTTTTAGGCAGGGAGAGGAGGGAGGAAACCAGTGCATTATTGACCACTAACAACATATACCCAGAGTCACCTGTTGCACAATTTTGGACCGTGCAGTGGTAGCATAACCCAGAATGCAAAGGGGCATAGGCATTGTGGGATAGCAACTCACAGTGCATTGCTCTCAAAGCTGATGGCAGACACCCTGCTGGGTACGCGCTGCTTTGAACTACATCAAATTCTTGCATAAAATGGGGATCTGCTACTTTGATTTTACAAAATAAGGTGCTTAAAAAAAAAGACCATAATAAAGTCAACCTTATCTCTTAGTGTAGATATGGCTTGAGGTAGCAAAGTAAGAGAATTGTAGCTTTAATTCCAGCCACTCACCAGGAAAATAAACTTACCAGTACTTTAAAATGTAAATCATAATAAAATACAGGCAGTCCCCGGGTTACATGGATCCGACTTACATCGGATCCCTACTTACAAACGGGGTGAGGCAACTCAACCTCCAGCAGACCAGGGAGATGCGAAGCTAGCGTCCCCCCCCCCCCCCGCACACACCAGCCCAGGGAGACACAGAGCGGCTTTTCTCAGCAGACACCTCAGCTTGAGAATAAAGGACTGAGGGAAGTGAGGTGTGGGAGAATAAAACTGAGCTCGGGAGAAATGTTTGGCTAGAGTTTCCCCTACAATATGTACCAGTTCCGACTTACATACAAATTCAACTTAAGAACAAACCTACAGTCCCTATCTTGTACGTAACCCAGGGACTGCCTGTACATCTTCAATATACCTTCCCAGGCAATAGGAAATCAATGGAAAACGTTAACTGGATATGCTCAGTATATATAAGTAGCCCATTTCTTCTTTATCATTTCAAAGTGGAGGCTTCTGCTTCATCTCAGGATGCAAACAGACACTAATCTCTCTCTCCTTGTCACTTGAAGATTATTAAGTCCCAAGCAGTCTATTTTCCTTTGGGGAAAAAAGAGACAATTCCTTCTATTTGTATCTTTACTGTTCCACTCTAAAATGACTAATATGCCAAGTGGCAAGTTGGAAGCTCACTGTTTGGAGAGGGGTTCCAAAAACCTTAAGCCCAAAAAGTAACCAGTCTTCAAGTTTTATTATTCAATGCGATTCAATACAAGTTTTATAATTAAATTACTTTTATGCCACAAGTGCTTTTCAGTTTCAGGCCCAGTCAGTGAGAATCTAGCAGATCCAGCTATTAGAAGCAGATACACATTTTATCAGTACCTCTCCTTAAAAGTTTTTTTTGTAGCTAATATTCTGCTGCTCACTTAATTATATTTAACATAAGCTGAGACTTGTGGATATTATAGGTGAGGAAAAATGGCTTGATAGTATTTTTCCTTACCTGTGTTATATATTTCTTTTCAGAGTTACTATTATGAAGGACAAAGAAACCAGGAAGAGTAAAGGAGTTGCATTTATTTTGTTTTTGGATAAAGAATCTGCACAAAACTGTTCTCGGGCACTTAACAACAAACAAGTAAGCTACAGAAAAATGCCATGGCAAAAAGGGGAGAGTTCAGATTTCTCAAATATGGACTCAATTATTTTTTTTCTTTTTGTTTAGTTATTTGGAAGAGTAATAAAAGCGAGTATTGCTATTGACAATGGAAGAGCAGCGGAATTCATCCGTAGGCGTAACTACTTCGATAAATCTAAATGTTATGAATGTGGGGTGAGTAAATTACACGATGGAGCTACAACAAATGTTTATATTTTTGTTCTTGGCTTACGTTTCCTCCAATTTTGTTGTCACTAGTCTTGTCCCTCTTACACCATCACATCATTCCTTATGGTAGCATCCCAAAGCTCTCATCAATATTTTCTCCACTTCTGCAATGATTCTAGCCTTAATTGGGTATTTGGAGTCTTCCAAAAGCATGACTATTTGGTAACTACAAACATTTGTGCTGATGTGCAATCAGCATTGTAATATTATAATCAGTACAGCTAATTCTGTATTAGAAACTGAAGTATCTGTTTTGTTTCATAATAACTTTTCTTTTATCCAACTGAAATTTCATGATGTGTTTGGAGGGGAGAGCAATGTATTACACAAACAAGCCTGCTCACTCTTTATTTTAAATTGAATGAATTGAGAGTTCTGTGGTAAATGACAGTAAGACCATCTCTTGTTGATACATTTAAAGCTAAATAGGGTGGTGATTTGGAGGCCTTAGGAATGCACAAAGAATGAGAACAGTAACCACAAACATAAGTAAAAATTATCTTACACTCACATACCCATTTACACAACCTGAGAGAGTATATATACCGGCTAATGCTATATGCATACTTACATACCCAAATTTCATATATTAGAGTAGATTCAGGGGGGACATGTAGTGTGGGCATTTGAGAGCATACCCCCCGCCCCCAAACACCACGGGTGGGAAAAGCAAGAAGCCAGCCAAGGGCTATCAAAACCAGAGCCTCTGAGCATCCTGGGGGACTAGCAGAGGGGTCTCGTGCTAGCAGCAGGGGTCCTTCCCTCCCACTGCATTGACCTTCAGTGGTGGGGGAAGAAGAGCAACACAACAGTAGCTCACTCTGATCTCCTGGCATGTTGCTCCAGGGAGGGGACAGGACTGCCCCTATGCTCACCAGCAGGAAGTGAAAAGCAATGTGCCTAGGGAAGCAGAGCCAGCTAGAGCTACATTTGTCCACTTCCCCCCACCGCTGCCAGTGATTGCGGAGTGAGAGACCGACCCCTGCTGCCGGTGCTGGACTCACAGCCACACTAGCCCTCTGGGTGCATTGGTTGGGGAAAGAGGTGGACGGGAACAAGGGAGGAGGCAGAGGGGAGTTGTCCTGGCTTTCGCCAAGGTGGGATAGGGGTTGGTCATGCGGCCAGTAGTCCCCTGTTTCTCCCTCACCAGATCTCTTAACAAATGGTCATCAAGACAAGTGGTTCCAGCTTGTATTATCCCAATTAAGCCTTCCCTGGGTCTTCACTCTTGGAATATTCCTGCTTATATCCAATCAGGAAATCTCTTTTATATTGTTATTTTGACCATGCCTAACACCTTAGGCATGAAGGTTTCAATGCACTTTTTCTTCATCTGTACTTCGACAAACGATGAATATTGGAATATTGTGTTTTTATAGGTTGTTGCTTTACTTCATAAGAATATATTATAAGATATCTCAACATAACATCTCACGAAACTGAATGAATAGCAACAAAATGGCAGATGAAATTCAGTGTTGATAAACTCAAAGTAGTGCACATTGGAAAACATACCAACTTTATATATAAAATGTGGCCTAAATTAGTTATTACTACTCCATAAAAATATCTTGGAGTCATTGTGGATATTCACTCAGTGTGCAGCAGCAGTCAAAAAAGCAAGCAGGATCTTGGGAGTTAAGGATGTAATAGATAATAAGAGAGAAAATATCTGCATCTGTATAAATTCATGGTACATCTACCTCCTATACTGTGTTCAGATGTAGTTGCTACATCTCAAAAAAGATATGTTAGAATTAGAAAAGGTTCAGAAAAAGGCAACCAAAATGATTAGGGGTATGGAAGGACTGCCATATGAGGAGAGGTTAATAAGATTAGGACCTTGCAGCTTGGAAAAGAGACAACTAAAGGGGGATATGATAGAGGTCTATCAAATTATGACTGGCATGGAGAAAGTAAACAACTGCCATTTACTCATAATACAAGGACTAGGGGTCACCAAATGAAATTAATAGGTAACAGGTTTATTACAAACAAAAGGAAGTACTTCTTCACACAACGCATAGTCAACTTGCAGAACTCCTTGCCAGAGGATGTCGTGAGGGCCAAGATTATTACAGAGTTCAAAAAAGAACTAGAGAAGTTCATTGAGGATATATCCATCAATGTCTATTAGCCTCGATGGGCAGGGTTTGTGTCCCTAGCTCTGTTTTCCAGAGAGTGGGAATGGGCTATAGGAGATAGATCACTTGAAGATTACCTGTTCTGTTCATTCCCTCTGGGGCACCTATGTTAGTCATTGTGGAAGACAGGATATTGGGCTCGGTGAACCTTTCATTTGACCCTGTAAGGCCATTCTTATATTCTTTTTTCTATATTTCTACAATTTAAATCTATTTAGCACACATTGATCATATATTGTTTCATATATAACTTGACCATAACACCAAATAATAATGATAAATGGATGATCAAATGAACTAATTGGATACATACTAAAGGAGAGTAGAATTGTTTTATATATAACACCTATGCCTATAGATTTAAATACATCTAAACAAATTTCACACTTGAGATTAAGCTAAGATTTGAAAAACAGTGTTTTGGATCATATTAATATATTAAAATAAACTTCAGTTGTTTAAATATCCAGTCTTACCATCTTAAAACTAGCAATGTTGTTGCCATCATGATTCTGACCTCCAGTGTTGAGGTCCAATAAGATCTTGTGCAGGCCTGGGCAAGGTGGGCTGCCAAGCCACTAGATCCAGTCCACAGACAAAGCAAGGAGCCCCAGACAGGCTCCCTGCTTGCCTCATCCCACCTGCACGCTGCTCAGAAAAGCAGCTGCAGAGCCTTTTCTCTTTCAAAACTGTGAGCCCCAGGGTGGGAGGGAAAACTTCAGGCACTGCCCCTGCCCCTAGCACAATCCCATTAGCCAGTTTCTGGTCAGAACCCAGCTAATGGGAGCTGCCCGTTTGAATAACAGGTGGCCACGAAGCACCAGACCCCCCTCCCATCTGGCTCGTAGTTATTCACATGCATATGGCCCTGCAGTCTGTGCGGGGGTGGGGCAGTCTGGCTGGTTTGTTGGCTGGCTGAATGAGAAATGTGCTGGGTTGCTGGCTGGGAGTCACCCAGGTAAGTCTCCTGGCCAGAGCCTGTCTCTGGCACCCCAACCCTCTGCCCCCCATTCCACATACCCAACTTTCTGCCCCCCCTCCTGCACCAATATCCCCTCCCAGATCCAGCATCCCAATCTCCTGCCTCAGATCATAATCTCCTGCCCTAGGTCACAACCCAACCCCCCTGCACCGCAGTCTAGTGCCCGAAGTCACAACTGCTTCCTTTATCCAAACTCCCTCCCAGACCCTACACTCCTTCCTGCACCCCAGTCCTTTACCCCAATCTCCCTCCTGCACTCAACCTCCATCCAAGACCCCACACTTCCTCCATTAATATCATGGAAGATTGTGGCCCTTGACCACTTACCAAATTCTTGGAGTGGCCCCCCATCAAAAATTATTGCTCATCCCTGATTTTGTGTATAGATTACGTCTTAGTGTGTTCAGCTGTTACGACAGCCAAATCAGAATGTATTGTTATTCTTTATAATGAATTCCGAAGCGCAACTTGTGGCTAAAGTAGCATATCACTGCTACGTTTTCCCATTTCCAAGATGAATCTGCAAGGAAGGATTTATTTTATTTACATTCTATTAACCAATGCAACATTTCTTTTATTAAAACTGCTTCAATTTTTTCTTGATTAATGTTAATTTTTTCTAAGGATATATTTAATGCCATGTTTTTAATTTCTCCTGTTAATCTCTGTTTCTTTTTCTCTAAGGAAACAGGACACTTAAGTTATGCTTGTCCTAAAAATATGCTAGGAGAGCGTGAGCCTCCAAAAAAGAAAGAAAAGAAGAAAAGGAAGAAAATAGTTGAACCAGAAGAAGAACTGTATGGGCACCTACATTTAATTATCAACACTCTTTACTCTTAGTATACTGTCTTTTTAGAATAAAGTGCATCTGTAATATTTTTATTTTTTATACTATTTAGTGAGGAAGAAGAAGAAAGTGAAGATGAGGGTGAAGACCCTGCCCTGGATAGCCTCAGCCAGGCCATAGCTTTTCAGGTACTAAATCAAATTACACTATGTAGCTTTGTTTCTAAATAATATTTAAAACAACTTCAAGTAACAATTATAAGTGTCTAGACTATATAATACACAGAAAAGAACTATGCTATTCTATAGAACTTTATCTATACTGGAACCCTTCCTTCTTTGATTCTGGACAGTCAATCATGCTCCCCATTTTCTAATCTGTCTAAAACATGGTGACTATTGTCTCTTTTTTATGCTGCAACCATTGGCCTGCTAGCACACTACCTTCCATATCCTAATGACTTAACTAAAGAATGGGTTCTTAGAGAAGGTGCAAATTGTTCTTATCAGCTTCTTGTAACTTGAACACTTTAATTCACTTTTTTCCTCCCTTCCTCCCCCCTCTTACCGTATATTCCGGCGTACAAGACGACCTCTGAAGTTAAAAAACATCCCCCAAAAATCGGGGGTCGTCTTGTACGCCGGATGCCCCGCCGCCGGAGCTCCTCCGCGGCTT